TGCAATACACAAACAGCAATGCTAGGGCTCGGCGGTGGGATCATATAGCCACAAACCATTGTGGCATTGAAAATCATTCTGAATTAAAAGCACCTTTGTTATTTTCTATGAAGTGTTAAAGTCAAAGGCATGTTTAGAAACCTAAATGTATACACAAATGATGTCATTTGGGATCATTGCACACAGCTACTTTTCCTGGTTTTCTCTGTAGTGGAGTAGATGGTATCATTTTCTGCTGTTCATCTTTCAGCATTTCATCTCATTACTTAAATTTTTAGACACTGATTTCATCCTCAGGAAGTGTCATATTGAGCAAAAGTATTTTGATAGTATTTCCTCCATTTGGCTCTATTTTCTGTTGCTAAAACAGTCTTAAAATTCCTTTTCCTGAGCCTGTGGTCTCATATAAATGCATCTGAATTCTACAGCTTCCATGACAGAACGTGACAACCCTTGGTCAGCACCGTCAAACTGCCTGCTTGATGCTCTACACAACGTTGGTTTGGAATGCCTTCATTGGGATGTCAAGTCAAAAGCTGATGTGAAACGGGATGGAAGGATTTTCCTGTAAATCCACCATTTCCAATTCAGCCCAACAGTGATGACAATGTAGTTGCCATTTATTTACCCTGAACAGCACAAGAGAAGCCAAAAATGCAGTCTGGAGGAGTGAGTGTTGCCCCTGAATGACCTCTACTTTAGTTATCCATGAGAAGAAAGTTCTATTTACAGCAGATGCTGCTTAGGCGATCAAGGAATCACAGTTCCCAAAGTAGTTACACCTTAGAAACATTACCTTAGCACAACTGTTTCTTCTCTCACACCTAGACAATAAAACCCTTCTGTGTTGAAGCTGGATCCTCGAAGGCTTCTGAAAGCTGATTCCGCTCCAAACTGCAGAAATAAACCTGAATGTAGAAGTACCCCTGTGACTTTTGCTCCTGGTAGCTTTGAGCTGCCAGTCTTAGGCAGCTGGAAAGGAGAAGAACCCTTTATCACTAAGTGTATGGGTTTGCTTTAGGACCAGATAGATGTTTGTTTGAGGGCTCTGATAGCTCTATACTAAAGCAGGGTGTTCTTTCATTTTATCTTAGTGTTTAGGAAATCACCAGCTCATTTTTTGTTTCCTTTCAGAAATCCTTGCAGAACCCCTCTTGTCCTGACCATTCCAATCTCCCAGTCTTCAAGCAGCAATAACCTTTCCTCTTTCACCCATTTTCAGATGCTTGTTTTTGGCATCACCCAGCAAGGCTGAGCAGGGAGCTTGTGCTTGAGCTTTAACCCTTGTCTCCTCCAATTCCTCACTGTTTCAGGCTCTGCAAGTGTCAATAATTGCCATCCTAAGGAAGCCATAGGCAGCTGAGAAGATCTCCATTTAATCCATTTCTGGAAGGTAAAGAGGTGCTGTTGTCTTCTACCTTACATGAAGAAGAACCCAATTCTTGAGTCAATTTGCTTTGAAAGGCTTGGCCGGGGAAGGTTTCCTGAGGGCATGGGGCACAGCAAGGGGTACTTTAACACCAGTTTTCCTCATCATTTATCACCTGCAGTGTATTCTTACAACAGTATAACAGGAGATGATGTTCTCATTTTCTTCTCTTTCTTTTTCTTCCCAGCTTCCCCCAGAAATTAGGGAATTGTTCACATCTGTCTCCTTGGGATTTCAGTGGATCTCTAAAGTAGTGAATTAGCTATTGACAGAAATCAGAGACAAAAATAACACCTATTTGTAGATCATAGAATCTATTCTCTAAAAACAGACAATAAATCATGTTTAAGTAGTTTTCTATTTCTCAGGTGTAAAAGGCTGTAAGGTTTTAAGATGTTATAGGTTTTAAGATGTCCCTTCTCAGGTCAAAATGACACTGCAGCACTTCCACAAATGTTCTGTGCCTTCTGATGGATGAACATGAGCAGAAAGGAAAATGAGAAGTTAGACAATTTAACACCAGCAGTGTTAATTTTCTACAGTTTTGTCATTTACTTGCAAGAAACTTAATATATTTCTTCTATAGCTTTATGGCTACTTCTCGCTAAGCTCTAGAGACTGTAACATTCTGCTTAGTGAACTGAAATATCTGTCAATATAAAAGCATCTCCTCATAAAGGCATTGGGAACTGTTATGGAACATTGTTATGTACACTAGTATTACCTAAGGAATCATTGGGACTTTGTAGAGCAGACATTTGTTAGAGAGAGTGGAAAACAAAACTTCCAAATTAAAAATACAATTGCTCTTGATTTAATTCAATAAAATATTTCATCCTCTAACAAACTCATATGCATGGGGGAAGAAGTAATCCTGTGATGAGAAACAAAGAAAGAAAACACTTTGTCACTGCCTGGGCTCACCTGCTTGAGCTGTCTCCCTGTCTGTGAGACTGAAGCCTCATCTCCTCTCTGCACGTTATTTCTGCTCCCTTGGATCCGTACTGCTTCCCCCCTCTGCAAAACAGGCTCTGGGTCTTGTAACAGCAAACAAAGTATTCTTTGTGCTCTTTGGAAACCTTCATGTTTTATTGCTTTGCAAAAATAAACCTTCTGTCTTGGTAAAACGATGTGTAGACTGTTGTACCCAGGTCAAAGGAGAAGGAACTGGCTAACACATAGCAAACGTGTCACCTCCCCAGCCCCAACTCTCATCCCAACTTGGATCGGGAGGAGGGTGAGGAAGAGCAAGCCAATGAGAAAACACAAGGAGAGGCCTTGTAATTGTTTTCTAAAGGTCAGTTTCTTGCTAGAGCACTGATGTGAAACACAACCAGCTCCTCTGGGACACCTACAGCACAAGGTCCATCCATTCCTTGCGAGGTGTGACTCTAAACCAGCTTCACCTCCAGGCAAGTCATCAGGCAAAGAGCAGCCAGTGCTGGAGCCCTCTCTGTGCAAGGTAAGCCTCAGGAGCAGCTGTGCCGTTGTCGCCTCCATCACAGCCTCAAAGAGGAGGAAACCTTAGGAGAAACTTACAAATGATATGGATAGAAAACTGAGCCCATTGGGGAAAAGTTTGGTGGGAGTCAGGGGCACAGTGACATTCATTCCGGTAGAAACTGGGTTACTGCCTGTATTTCGATTCAGCTGCCTGTGATAACACAGCACACGCTATTTCCAGCCTCTTTTTATTCCTGTTCATACATTTCCCAGGTTTTTGGGCCATTGGCTTTATTCATGAGCTTAACAACAGCCAGTATTGTGTGCACTGTAAATATTAGAACTGTACTGAGCAGATAGCTGTGGCGTGTGGCTGCTGGTATAATACAAATATGCTTATTACTGTTAGAATTTCAGCAAGGAAAAACCCAGACAATATCATTGTGAGAAATGGGCTTTTTTTCTCCCCATCTTATTTACAGAGCTCACGGTTCACTGGTAAAGACTGTTAGGGCTGAAATTGCAAAAGGAACTCAACCTCAGCTATATTCGAAGACATTCCCCAAATGAAGCAGAGCACACTCGTAGTAACAGCAATAATAAGTTCACTGCAAGGCGTCCTCTGGAAGACTTGACAGCACTACAGAAATTACTTGCAGGCAATGCTGGCGCTCACATCTGATTTAATATCAGCATTCAGTACTTTATGTCATATTTGAGTAAAGGCTTGTAGATACAGGCGAGTGTCTGTCCAGCTGAAGAGCTGCTGGGAGCAAGCAGGGACAGGCCAAGGGGAACGGCTTGAACCTGAGAGGGGAGACTGAGATGAGCTCTTAGGCAGAAGCTCTTCCCTGTGAGGGTGCTGAGGCGCTGGCACAGGGTGCCCAGAGAAGCTGTGGCTGCCCCATCCCTGGCAGTGTTCAAGGCCAGGTTGGACACAGGGGCTTGGAGCAAGCTGCTCTAGTGGAAGGGGTCCCTGCCCATGGCAGGGGTTGGAGCTGGAGGAGCTTCAAGGTCCCTCCAACCCAAACAGTCTGGGATTCTGTGATTCTTAACCTCTGGGCCCTGCATGGGGGAGCACTGCCTGTGCCTGGCTGGGGGTCCTGTGCCTGAGGGGCTTTGGCTCCTGGGAAATACCCAAGCCAGGAGTTTCCACTCCGAGCTGCTGTCTGATGCTGGTCCTGGCTGCAGCCCTGGCCAAGCAATCCCACTGACCGTTGCCTCAGTTCCTCCCCTCTGTTAAACACAAAGAATGGTACCAGCGTGGTCCAGCTGCTCAGCTCAGGGGTGTGTTGAGAGCCAGCTAAAACCTCAGAGAAGTGTTTTGATTGGGAAGCTCTGACAATAAGGTCTGGTCTGTCTGTGGAGTAGCAGCTGTTATAAATGCATGATATTTTTTAAGGTAAGCTTGAACCCCCCAATTTATCTTAATGCACTGGGAATTAATTTCATTTTATTATATATAACGCTGTAGAGGCACTTGCAGCAGTACATTAGCAGACTATTAAAGCACTTTATGTGGACATGACTAAATGCTCAGGTTGGTGACCTGAAGTGCTTTCATTTTTAACATGGCTTAAATCACTGAAATGTGCTTGAAACGAGGACATTTATTAGTCCTTGGCTTTCACAATAAGTTACTTAACAACAGCCATCTAATCAGAAATAGCCAGTAAGAAACTAAAGGCAGCTGACATAGCCTTCACAAACAGGCTATAGGCTACAAAAGCCCAGGCAAATCCTGATGCATCACTTTTCCTGGTGGACTGAGAGTACCTGGAAGGGCTCTTACCTGATGTTCTCCATAGATGGTGATTTAAATTCCTCATCTGCCATGAGCACTGTAAGTGGGATGAAGCCTTTAGCTGTGCTGTTTGCAAAAAGCAATTGCTACAGGCACCCGGAGCAGAAGCTGCTCTGCCCTGTGAACAGGATCTGGGCAGGAGGAATATGCAGGAGTGGGAGATGGAGCATTTTGTGCTGGTGATGGGCTTTGGAGATACCTGACATATAAGAGCAAAGCTGGGTTCCTGACTTACCATATTTACTCTTTCAAGGTTCTCCAGGAGCCCCGATAAATCCTTGTGCTGAGGAGTGACTCTAATATGTAGAGGACATGGAAGAGGAGGTAAGCAAGGCCAGTGGTTACTAGTATTTTTACCAGGATCACCCCAATTACATACAGTTTAGGCCATGTCTATTTCCTTGATATGAGTGGCCTGCAGAAAATAGAAAATAGATGGGAAAATGCCAGGAAATAAAGAGCTGTTACGTATATAAAGCCATTTGAATCACTGATGCACAGGAGGCAGCAGCCCTTTAAAAACCTGGTGGTTTTTATTTTTTTCAGACAATGCTATCAGATGCTCTCCTCATCATTTAAGATAAAGGTGAGAATATAATTCAGTGTGCAAGAAACTAAGCACCCCAGTCCCATTTGTTCGCATGCACCCATGTGAAACATGGACAGAAGGAGTACATATGTCAGCAGGCACGTACTCCAGAGCCTTGCAGGACTCCTGTGAGCTTTGTGCAGGACTGTGTAGGTGCATGAATTTATGCCTGCAAGTACCTAATGCTGAGATGGAAATGCTGAATCCACTGTCCCAGTATGTAATTTGCACTGATGATGGGAGAAGTGGAGTGGATCATCTCAAGGAGATGATGGTGTCCAGCAAGGGGGATGCTGCAGCATCTTCATGAGCCTGGCCCCTGCATCAGTTTATGGTGTATGACCTGCCTTGTGTAGAGTGATGTGCTTGTAACCATTAGTTGTTACTATTATCTCTCAGTTTCCATTCAATGCAGATTATTGAGTTTAATCAGTGAAATGAATTTGCTAATGAACTTGTTAATAAGCTTGCTGCAGCTAATGTTGTGGGGGTTTTCTGTTCATTTCTTTTGGTTATTGTTGTTCTCAAATATATAGATATAAAGCCGCTGCAGCTGCTTGGCAGCTTGGGTTTTTGCTTCAGGCACATGATGAGAATAAGTTCAGTTACAATTGTTCTGATGTAAAGAATAGTTAAGAGAAAATTTAGTAGCAATATCAGCTTAAGAGAGTTTGAGCTCATGACCTTTGCATTGCAGTGAAACCGGTTTAGCTGCCAGGCTGGCAGACTTTCATTCCCATATGTGAGATGTTCAGTTACTGGCACTGGGAGGACAGCTTTGGAAGAGTTCAGAAAGGATTGTTCCAACTCATTTATGTGCAGTTCTGTGTGCCCATTGGATAAATACAGCGTTACAGAGCATGTTCCATGAGCATTAGTCACAGTCATAGTGTATGTATTGTAGAATCATAGAATCCCAGACTGGTTTGTGTTGGAAGGGACCTTAAAGCTCCTCCAGCCACGGGCAGGGACCCCTTCCACTAGAGCAGCTTGCTCCAAGCCCCTGTGTCCAACCTGCCCTTGAACACTGCCAGGGATGGGGCAGCCACAGCTTCTCTGGGCACCCTGTGCCAGCGCCTCAGCACCCTCACAGGGAAGAATATACATAGATAAAGATACAGAATTAATACATGTAATTGTTTGTGAAATATTTAGGAAACACAGACCAGATTTAGGGCATTCCCTGTGTTTTGAAGGGAGCCCTGTCCTCGGCAGCATGGGCGAGAGCTGGACATCACAGGCTTCAGCCCCCAGTATGCTTTGGGCCAGCCTCATCATTTACTTATACCAAGGAACACCTCAGGCTGGTACTTTCCTGGTGCAATGTCCCAGTGTTGGTGCAGTTCACACCTTGGTTTACACAGGGCTTCCCTTTGCAAATATCAGCCCAAATTCCTGCAGGTCACTGAGCGTTCACATGGGGCTCTCAACCAACCTGCTCTTGGAACGACGGCGCTTGCTCAGGTCCATCCTGCCTGTGATTCCACAGCGTGTTCCTGGTGCCACCACATAATTCCAGAGCACAAATTCCTTGTCTGAGGAATGCTGCTGCAGTCTGCTGACATGGCTTCTTCCCCCCTGGGACCTTCCTGCTGAACAATATAGCACAGCAATGAAGTGGGGAGATGAGATTCCTCTGGCTGCAGTCTGTGTCATGGTAACAGTGGCAGCAGGTTTTGGCCTTGACACCCTGTCAATTTTCTATCAAAGCACTGGAAAATAAGACGCTGACTCCAAAAGCCTCTGTACTATTAGTACAGCACTCCTGGCTACCCACAGAGAGAGGCAAGGCTGTCAGACACCTCTGCACTAAACCCTGCTATCAGGGTGCTGCACAGAACAACTTTCTTTCCTGCATTCTCAGTAAATATTGTGAAACACCCTTTGCTTGGCAGAAACATGAAATTCACTTGTGAGAAGGAGAATTGTTACTGTAGATGTAGTAAACAGAGTTTTACACTGTTTGTATGCTCCAAGAGTATGATGTGCAGACAGACTCCACAGCTCGTTAAAGTTGTAAAGTAGGTATGCTTTATTCAGCGCTGAGGCGCATGGGGGATTGCTCCTCCAAAGGCATGTGCACCTCAGCGTCATTTCCCTCTGCATTTATCCTCTAAAGTTATACTTATGCATGAGGTTGCACAACACGCCTATACATATTCGTGTCCTATTCCCACTCCGTATTATAATGAGCTGAAAGGTCCTTTGCGCTTGCGCAGTGCTTCCTGGTGGTCGTGGGCGAGGGTCTCAAGAAGAAGTCAACGAGTTTTCCTCAGGCCTGAACTTTTCACCTCTAGTCGTTACCCATGTTCCCTGGAGGCTTGGTCATTGTTTAAGGTGCAGAGCCAATTTCAGCCGGCCTGGGTGTCCAAAGGACTGGAACCAAGTCACGGTCCATACCTCATAACAATAGCCATGTCCTTGCATCTTGTTCTAGCACACACGGCGAGTACAATAAGCATGAACAAGCAGTAACATTGTTAAGTAAGCGGCTTAACCCTAGCCCCCCTGTACACCCTTTACATCAAGTACACACGAAGTTTACTTTAGTGTTCCAACAATGAAAAAGGAGTTTTGCACACCATAGTCAAAATGGAGATGGGCTGCGAATAGCTCTCCAAACAGGTTGGATGGCTGGAAGGAAAGCATCTATAGAGGGAGAACAGGTAAGGGCTGGGATGGAGTGCAGGGCAGCACTGAGGCTGGTCTCAACTGGTGTAGATGTGCCCAACCCCTTGTTAAATCCCACCTCTGCCAGGAATGACACAGTGCTTGGTCTTTTTCTGGCACTAGAGGATCCAAAGAGATCGTTCCCTGATTACTGTCCCTATCATCATTTTTAGCACCTGCAAAAAGAAGAGGCAATGACCCTTAAGTGTGAATGTGACACAGGCATGAGGTGAACAAATTATAGCTCTGAAATTCATTTCATCCTTTGAGATGAAAATGACCCATTTTGGCCAGACCTTTATCCTCGCTCCATGCACCCCCTGACCCTGTCAGGCACCTCATCCCACCCCAGGGCCCAAGGGCCCGCTCTGTTTCTGATGACACTTGCATTAACCCGATGGGTAGATGTCCTGACAGCTGCCACCATGGGTTTGCTCATTTCCAGGAGGTTTCAGCTTCTTGTCCCTTTCTAGAAGCATATTAAAACAGAGTCAATGCATGACAGGACACAGCCCTCACGCAAAGGGATTGCCTTGTGAAACGTTCCTGGAGCAAGGGCAAGAGCATGTTCATGAGCAAATCTGAAACTAGAGGTTGAAATTGTCTCCCACTGAGGTTAGAGCAGTGCAGTGAACTGATTTTCACTATGACCTGTGGGAAAAGTAACTGCACCTCACCCTTAATGTGCCACGAAAGCTGTTAGGTGCTTCCCACTCTATTATCATTGTAATCAGTACATTTTGCAAAAGAAAGGGATGTTCTTTAGGGTGATTACAGGGTTTTACTCTTTAGGATGAATACAGGGTGTTTTTTTTAACCTCACAGATCTAAAACCGAAAGTATTTTATCATAAATGTATAGCTCCCCTTTTGAAATGGGTGAAATGAGGGATTTAATTCCCATTCTGCCAGTGGATCAGTAACAATGTCTAACCAACACAAGCCAGCAATTTCCATAGGTTAGGGTTGGGTTTGGTTGAATGTAGCACCAAAGGTTATAGACAACAGCTTTTGGGGCCAAATCATCCATGACAATTGCATGAATATTTCCATCACTGCTGGTTCCAGGTCTGCAGTCTTTAGGGACAAGCTGGTTCCTGGCCACCAGCATGAGTACATCTGGGTTGGGGGCTCAAATGGAGCAGAGATTGCTTTGGAAAGGCAGAGGGAGAGCCTGAAACACAACTTGGAGCATTGTGTGCAGTTCTGGTGTCCTCAACATAGAAAGGACATGGAACTGTTGGAACAAGTCCAGAGGAGGCCACGAGGATGATCAAGGGCTGGAGCACTTCCCCTATGAAGACAGGCTGAGGAAGTTGGGGCTGTTCAGCCTGGAGAAGAGAAGGCTGTGGGGAGACCTCAGAGCAGCTTCCAGTATCTGAAGGGGGCCTATAGGGATGCTGGGGAGGGACTCTTCATTAGGGACTGCAGTGACAGGACAAGGGGTAACGGGTTCAAACTGAAACAGGGGAAGTTTAGATTGGATATAAGGAAGAAGTTCTTTCCTGTGAGGGTGGTGAGGCACTGGAATGAGTTGCCCAGGGAGGTTGTGAATGCTCCATCCCTGGCAGTGTTCAAGGCCAGGTTGGACAGAGCCTTGAGTGCCATGGTTTAGTGTGAGGTGTCCCTGCCCATGGCAGGGGGGTTGGAACTGGGTGATCTTAAGGCCCTTTCCAACCCAAACTATTCTATGGTTCTAGGATTTTAACTTCGTGTTGTGTTTGCTCACCTTCACCAAGAGCCCTGCAGGAATTACTCTGGGCTTTTCCTTACACACTGGACAGCTGTCCTTATTTATGGCACCCTTTTTAACATCGTGAGGCTTCACCCTCACATATCATAAAGCTCAAACTAAAATGCCTTCACCTGAGCTTTCACGTGGAGTGAGCAAATGGTGGGAGATGAGCAATGACAACAGACTGCATTCTGCATCACAGTTAATGGTAAGCCAGAGTGTATCCTGACAGGTTTTATCTCCCACTGTATGAATAACATTTTGAAGACCATCCTTTAATGCTATTTTACACTAGGTTAGATAAGATTACTATCTACAGAAATGTTAAAAA